ACTTTTCGACCATATTTTTTTTTGCACCCCTGTGGGCCCTTTCTCATCTGACTCACTAATGCATACAATTTACAAGTAAAGATTAATACGCAGAAATAAATGTTAAAAAAGTTGTTTTCCAGCGCAAAAGTAAAAAGATTTTACAATATATGTATAACCGACAAAAAAGTGGTATATACAAAAAGTGGTAAATAAAAAAGTGGTATTTAAAAAAAGTGGTATATGAAAAAGTGGTATATGAAAAAGTGGTAAATAAAAAAAGTGGTTTATAAAAAAATGGTATATAAAAAATGGTATATTAAAAAAGTGGTATATAAAAAAGTGTTATCTAAAAAAAGTGCGGTATATAAAAAAGTGGTATATGAAAAAGGTATTCTAATTTAAATCACGAGTACGTATTCGCTTAAAAGAACTGAGTAATGGACTGTTGAATATTAAATAATTACATTCGGGCCTATGTTCAAATTTTCAAACTGTTTTGATCCAAAACCTGATATCCTTGATATCCTTGTATTATTTAGTTATGTAATTAATATCTGTATATTCAATACCTATTCAATACTACAGGTATATTTTTCATAATCTATATATATATAGACTTTGCTTGTCTGTCTGTCCGCGTTTGTGCCCAAAAGTTTTTGATTTTTTGTTAAATTTTGATAATTAGTGAAAAAAATTATTAAATCTGCGATTTTTTTTGTTATTGTTTTATATTGTACAAGAAGAAGATGCTTTCAGTCACAGAGCCACACTTAAAAGTAGAAATAGAAGATGGGCGCGAAGCGCACTAAAAATTTAGTATCGTTATACTTCGAGTAAATTTTCATGCTCTGGAGGACTTTTTTATCATACCTTAAACATTTTCTCGATTTACAAAAATAAAAAACTATACCTATTATGCACCATAGTTACTGTTAACGAGAGGGTGGGAAATTGTATATGTATTGAAATATCCAAATCAATGATTTGTGTTGAAATAAACATTGCTTCAGTCTAATAATTTTTGAGCAATATTGTATTTCAAAGCAACTTCATTTTCATATTTTCAGTAATAAATTATTCTGATAGATAGATAGATAGATACAGCCATAGAATATTTAGATAGATAGATAGATAGATAGAAAGCATTCATAAAAATATTTCACTCTTAGCTAGACAGAAGCCAAAGGTTAAAACTTTGCAACATTACTTGTACGACTTTATGACCTCGTACTTCCTCTAGTTTTGATTTTTATTTTACGTAACAAAGCAAAGGAATTGAGTCTTTGTCACAAACTATGATTTTTTAATCTCTATATCTTCGCAACCCAATGCCGTAGACCTTAGATATTTCAATCTATGAATTCTGCTAGATGAGAGAATCTAAGTTTGAAATATCAAAGGTTTACTCCATCAGGTGAAAAAAATAGAGGCATTAGAAAATCAGAGTTTGTTACAAAGACTCAATTCCTTTATCAGGTTTCACGCTAGACATTCTTCGTTCTTCTCAATAGCTTTTCAATAATAGAACCTGTCTGATCTAATAAACATTTTGATCTTACGTGTAATTTACTTTAGTTTGACGTGATTTAGGGCCAACCCACATCAACCTAGTTGCACCGGCTAGTCCTATTGAGTGTCTGCTTTATTTACCCAATGTCCGGGCGATACAGTACAAACTGGAACCGGAAAGGTTGACCCGGCTCGGAAATTCAAATATACTACGGCTGCACTTGGACCATAACTCTAAACCAAACCCTTGTTTTTGATTTGGAATACTTACGAACCTATGATGTTTTTGGGTGTTAGCTGTATTTTATCTCTATCCCGGTTTTTTTATTTTTGTTTTTTCTACGGTTTGAATTTGAACGCTTAATTACTTTTTTTTAAATAATTGAGAACAAATTTGGAAATAATTAATATACCCCTTTTCAAACTTTCTCTGATCAATAATGTGTAAGATATCATTTTTTCCTAAATTTAAAAAGTGAATACTGTTTAATTCTGAATTTAAACCTCATTGTTTCTTAAAGCAGATATGTGCGATTCATGTTTAGAGAGAAACCCTAATTGATATTATTTAAATTTAAAAAAGAGAAACTTGAGTCCGAATTTATTGAATTTGAGCCGCGTCTCAAATCCGCCAAAAACTGGTTTCAATTGAGCACCTGTTTAAATCTTAAAACATTGAAACATTAAGTGGAACCAAACATATTTGAGCCGCGTCTCAAATGTAAGCCGACGCTCATCTTCTTTACAGCCTGTGGATATTTTTTTATTCTTGATCAGACGAAACGTTTAAGAATAGAAATCTTTAGAGAATAAAATCAAATAATAATCTGTATTTGGTCAGAATTTTTGAATAGTAAATCCGCTCCTAAGTCCTAAGACACTAATTTAAATCGTTATAAAAAGTCTCTCGTTATTTCAGATTAGATTTAAAACTTAAATTTACAGCTTAATCTCTCAAATTCAAAAGTTTTAACAGACACAACAAGAAATTTCGTAATTTTATTAGCCAATTAAATTTTTTTCATCTCTATATCTTTGCCCCCTAATGTTTTACACATTTGATATTTCATAATTAAAATATTTCATCCATCAGAATTAATGATTTGAAATATGAAAGGTCTACATTGGGTTGCAAAGATTGTAAAGATATAGGAAGAGTTTGTGGTAAAAATTGAAAAATGAGAAGGTCACTTTATCATGTAAAACTGCTTCTAACCATGGATTCACCGACAAAGGGTCAAACGACCCAGGGTCAAACGACAAAGGGTCAAACGACACAGGGTCAAACGACACAGGGTCAAACGACACAGGGTCAAACGACACTGGGTCAAACGACAAAGGGTCAAAAGTGCGACAAAGGGTCAAACGACAAAAGGTCAAAATGATAAAAATATTTTTTGATTTGATTCATAGGAAACTCGCAATTTTAATCACAAAAATCCGCCAAACTTTTTTAAAGATTTAAAACTTTAGTCTGATTCTGGCTTCCATAATGGTCGGGTTGGCAATATAATTGACCATGTTGCCGCAGCGCTCGGCCCAGAAATTGTTTTAACTAACCTAACCCGTGGCCGCAGCGCTCGGCCCCCTGGCCTGTCCTAGCCGCAGCGCTCGGCCCAGAAAGTGTCTTAACCTAACCTAACCCTAAATAATAATAAATAAATGGATATAATTGAACATTTGGCCATAGCGCTCGGCCCCCTAGCCTGTCCTAGCCGCAGCACTCGGCCCAGAAAGTGTCTTAACCTAACCTAACCCTAAATAATAATAAATAAATGGATATAATTGACCATGTGGCCATAGCGCTCGGCCCCCTAGCCTGTCCTAGCCGCTGCGCTCGGGCCAGAAAGTGTCTTAGCTAACCTAACCCGTGGCTGCAGCGCTCGGCTCCCCAGTCTGTTCTAGGCGCAGCGCTCGGCCCAGAATGTACCTGACCTAACCTTAATTAATAATTAAAAAAATACTAACCGTCAAAATTAAAAAAAAATTTGCCCTTTTGTCGCATTTTTTTTACTCTTTGTCGTTTGACCCTTTGACGCGTTTTTGACCCCTTGTCGTTTGACCCTTTGTCGGTGAATCAAACAATGGAGACTGTAAATATTAAAAGATCCTGTAGCAACAATTTATATATTTTTTGTTCAATCTGTATAATCTGTAACGTCCAAAAAACCTCTCTTTCAAAATTTAACCAAGAACATGATGGATATTAAATCATGGATAGAAAATTTGAAAATAAAAGTGTAGTGCAGAGAATGAAGTACAACAAGAACTGTGACAGGGTGTGTGCTGACGTGTGAGCATCATGCTTTGGCCTTCATTTATTTGATTTATGCATTGTTAAAAACTAAAATAAAAAAAAAAATAAAAAAAATATAATCTGTAACAATGACAAACACTTAATATTCTTTTATTGTATACAAATTTCTATATAATTTACTAAATCCCTAATTTTCTAGAGAAAAGTTTTATTCATTAAAAATTCTATTAAATTATCATCATTATTCCATCTATATTAATCTTTTATATAAAATAAATGTCCAGTTTTCTCTTAAACGTATTAAATTCTATTATTATAATTGTATACATTGGACATTACTTTAGCTCGTTTTATCTACGCAATACGTGGTATTTATAGTCCTTCATATTTACTTTACTCCCTCTCTTGTCCTTCATCTTTACTTCACTCCCTCTCTTGTCCTTCATCTTTACTCTACTCCCTCTCTTGTCCTTCATCTTTACTGTACTCCCTCTCTTGTTCTTCATCTTTACTTTACTCCCTCTCTTGTTCTTCATCTTCACTTTACTCCCTCTCTTGTCCTTCATCTTTACTTTACTCCCTCTCTTGTCCATCATCTTTACTTTACTCCCTCTCTAGTCCTTCATCTTTACTCTACTCCCTCTCTTGTCCTTCATCTTTACTTTACTCCCTCTCTGATCCTTCATCTTTACTGTACTCCCACTCTTGTCCTTCATATTTACTTTACGCCCTTTCTTGTCCTTCATCTTTACTTTACTCCCTCTCTTGTCCTTCATCTTTACTTTACTCCCTCTATAGTCCCTCATATGTACTTTACTCCCTCTCTAGTCCTTCATCTTTACTGTACTCCCACTCTTGTCCTTCATATTTACTTTACGCCCTTTTTTGTCCTTCATCTTTACTTTACTCCATCTCTTGTCCTTTATCTTTACATTACTCCCTTTCTTGTCCTTCATCTTTACTTTACTCCCTCTCTAGTCATTCATCTTCGTACTGCACTCCCTCTCTAGTCTTTCATCTTTACTTTACTCCCTCTCTAGTCCTTCATCTTCTTTACTCCCTCATCTTTACTTTACTCCCTCTCTAGGCCTTCATCTTTATTTTACTCCTTCTCTGTTCCTTCATCTTTACTTTACTCCCTCTCTTGTCCCTCATCTGTACTTTACTCCCTCTCTAGTCGTTCATTTGTACTGTACTCCCTCTCTAGTCGTTCATTTGTACTGTACTCCCTCTAGTCCTTTATCAAAGTAAAATTTCTATATTGTGTTTATTATCATGACGATACCAACGAGCCGACAAATAAATATATAACAGAACAGATTTAGTATGAATTTCATTGATATAAATTTTACGAATAAATTTTTGTTCCAGGTTTTCCATGTATAGTGAAACGAAGTAGCCAGTATCTGAGGGGCTGTATTCCCTGACAAGAACGAACAGCTTATGATGGATTATTCCTGCTTAACCTGATCTATAAATTTCTAAGGTTAAAGGATTCTATCTGATCAGACAGGTAAGGCAAAGGTTACTAGGACTGATACAATCATCATGGCAGAATATACCACAGTTCTGGCAAGCAACCATTGCCTTTATGTTACAGACACATGGGTTCACGCCGTTCTGTGTCATGCTCGGGGGCTTCGGGAGAAGGGGAACACCGTAGGATTTCAGCATCATCTTGTTTCCTTTATTTGGCTTTGGTTTAATCAGGATTGTAGAGACGGGTCGACGGACAGGTTTTGGTTGTGGAGCTAGGACAGTTTGTTTGATAGGTTCTGGAGCGGGCTCAACAGGATCGGTAGCTCGATCTTCATCTATTTCTAGGTTTTGATCAGGACTTAAGCTTGGAGAATATGGCGCAGTCGGTTCAGATTCATCCTTACTTGTAGATTCAGGTGCATTTATAGCCTGAGGTTGAGTTGGTTCCAGTACACTTGTTGAAAAGGGGGGATCAATGGAGCTTGAAGGAGAAAATGCAGCAGATTCCAATGAAATGTTAGGAAGAGAAGAATCAGATTTAGATGTAGATTGGTAAATATTTACGGAATGGTCTCTACTAGATTGTAATGGTGTTGTTATTTGGGTGGGAGGAGGTATAGATAAACTTGTAGCCTGGGATTGAGTTGGAGTAGGATCAGATATACTTTTAGCCAGTAGTTGATGAGGAGTAGGTTCAGATATACTTGGAGCCAGTAGTTGATGAGGAGTAGGTTCAGATGTACTTGGAGCCAGTAGTTGATGAGGAGTAGGTTCAGATATACTTGGAGCCAGTAGTTGATGAGGAGTAGGATCAGATATACTTGGAGGCAGTAGTTGATGAGGAGTAGGTTCAGCTAACCTTGTATCCTGGAGTTGAGTAGCAGTAGGTTCAGATAAACTTGTTCCCTGGAGTTGGGTAGGAGTAGGTTCAGATATACTTGGAACCTGGAGTTGAGTAGGAGTAGATTGAGATAAACTTGTAGCCTGGAGTTGAGTAGGAGTAGGTTCAGATATACTTGTATCCTGGAGTTGAGCAGGAGTAAGTTCAGATAAACTTGTTCCCTGGAGTTGAGTTTGAGTAGGTTCAGATATACTTTGAGTCTGGGGTTGAGTAGGTTCAGATATACTTGGAACCTGGAATTGGGGAGTTTTGAGTTGGGAAGAAGTTGGCTGAGAGGAAACTTGTTCTTCTGGATGAGAAACTTGTTCTACTTTGTGAGAAACTTGATCTGCTGTGTGAGAAACTTGTTCTGCTTTGTGAGAAACTTGTTCTGTTGTGGGTGAAACTTGTTCTGCTGTGGGTGAAACTTGTTCTCCTATGGAAGAAACTGGATCTTCTGTGTGAGAAACTTGCTCTTCTGAGTTAGAAACTTGATTTGTTTTGTAAGAAAATTGTTCTATTGTATGAGAAACCGGTTCTTCTGGAAGGGAAACTGGTTCTTCTGTGTGATAAACTTGTTCTTCTATGTAAGAAAATTGTTCTGGTGTATGGAAAACTTGTTCTTCTGTGTGAGAAACTTGTTCTACTATATGAGAAACTGGTTCTGTTGATAGAGATATTTGTTCTGCTGGAGGAGATAATTTTACTGCTGAAGGAGATATCTGTTCTGCTGAAGGAGAAAATTGTTCTGCTGGAGGAGAAAATTGTTCTGCTGGAGGAGATAATTGATCTGCTGGAGGAGAAAATTGTTCTGCTGGAGGAGAAAATTGATCTGTTGGAGGAGATAATTGATCTGCTGGAGGAGATAATTGATCTGCTGGAGGAGAAAATTGATCTGTTGGAGGAGATAATTGATCTGCTGGAGGAGATAATTGATCTGCTGGAGGAGATACTTGTTCTGCTGAAGGAGATATTTGTTCTGCTGGAGGAGATATTTTTTCTGCTGGAGGAGATATTTGTTCTACTGGAGGAGATATTTGTTCTAATGGAGGAGATATTTGTTCTGCTGTAGGGGATATTTGTTCTGCTAAAGGAGATATTTGTTCTGCTGGAGGAGATAATTGATCTGCTAGAGGAGATATTTGTTCTAATGGAGGAGATAATTTATCTACTGGAGGAGATAATTGTTCTTCTGGAGGAGATAATTGTTCTACTGGAGGAGATAATTGATCTGCTGGAGGAGATAACTGTTCTTCTGGAGGAGATAATTGTTCTACTGGAGGAGATAATTGATCTGCTGGAGGAGATGTAAATTCTGCTGGAGGGTCTAGTTCTGTTGAACACTTCAGTATTTCTGAAAAAGGAGAGATCTTTTCTCCAGAAGAAATCACGGGTTCTGTGGAGGAAGACATTATTTCTGCTGAAGAACACAAAAATTCTGTTGGAAGAGAAATTATTTCTGCTGGAGGAGAATCTATTTCTGCTGGAGGAGAATCTATTTCTTTCAAAGGAAAACCCATTTCTGATGGAGGAGAACCTATTTCTGATGGAGGAGAACCTATTTCTGCCGGAGGAGAACCTATTTCTGCTGGAGGAGAATCTATTTCTTTCAAAGGAAAACCCATTTCTGATGGAGGAGAACCTATTTCTGCTGGAGGAGAACCTATTTCTGCCGGAGGAGAACCTATTTCTGCTGGAGGAGAATCTATTTCTTTCAATGGAGGAGAACCTATTTCTGCTGGAGGAGAACCTATTTCTGCTGGAGGAGAACCTATTTCTGCTGGAGGAGAACGTATTTCTGCTGGAAAAGAACCCACTTCTGCTGGAGGAGACATTATTTCTGCTGAGATTGAACTTATTTCTGCTTGAAAAGAAGTTTTTGTGTCTACTTTTGAAAATCCAGATTGTTCTGCAGAAGGAAAATGTAATATTTCCTTAGACTGGTCTTTTTCCGGTGATATATCTGTTTCTCTAGGATGATTTTTTTCTGTTATATGATCTTTTTTTGTTGGATTATCTGTTTCTGTTGGATGATCCGTTTCTGCTAGATGATCCGTTTCTGTTAGATGATCTGTTTCTGTTAGATAATCTGTTCCCGAAGAATCTGTTTCTTGCTTTAGACCTTCTTCTCCTTGAGGAGAGGAATGATTTGATGGAGTAGATTCTATTTCAGCGAATAAATTCGAGACTTGTTCTAATTCAGGAGAAACTTGTTCAACTACAATAGACGTAGGCTTTGTTGAAGGAGAAACTAGTTCAGCTGAAAGAGGTAAACCAGGCGTTGAAGGCTCCGAATTAGATTTATGTTCGTCTATGGCAGAAGAAATGTTAGAACCTGTATCAATGACTTGATTAACCGTATTTATTGCTTGTAAAGTATTTTCAGAAGAATCTAATGATTCTAATATTGGAGAAACAGTGGATAGATCTTGTTCAATTTTCTCCATTGTAATCAACAACTGATTTGATTGAACCTCGAGAACTTGAGATGGCGGGAATCCTTGAACAGGGGTTGGTGGGACATTACGAACTGCAGTTGGTGGGACGCTTGGAACTTTAGTATATGGGACAGATAAGATCTGTGTAGATGTGATATCCTGGGTTAATGGAACAGTTTGAACATGTGTAACTGGAACAACATTAATATGACTACTTGGGGAAAGGGTAGGTTGAGTTAATGTTGGGAGAGTTAAAGGTGGGACAAGTGAGATCTGAGAGGTTGGAACAGAGGAAGACTTAGAGGATGGTACAGCTGAAGAAATATGTGAGGAGTCTACATCTTTAACCTCTAAGGATGGAACAGTTGTAATCATTGAAGATGGTACAATTGAAATTTGTGAGGATGGTAAAGTTGGAATTGGTGATAGTTGTACAGCTGGAATCTGTGATGATGCATTGGCTGGAATCAGTGAAGATGGTACAGCTAGTTTCTGGTTAGCTTGAAGAGGAAGTATCTGGCTGTCATGAACAGCTGTTATCTGTGAGGCTGGTACAGCTGAAATCTGTGAGGATGGTGCAGCTAAAATCTCTGAAGATGCTACAGCTGTTATCTGTGATGATTGTTCAGCTGAGATCGTTGTGGTTGGCACGGCTGTAATCTGTGAAGATGGTAGAGCTGAAATCTGTGACGATTGTACAGCTGAAATATATGAAGATGGTACAGCAGTACACTTCGAGGATGATGCAGCTGTTATCTGTGAGGATGGTACAGCAAGTCTCTGGTTAGCTTGAAGAGGAAGTATCTGGCTGGCTGGGAGAGGAATGAGTTGACCTGCTTGGTTCTGAATGAGAACATATCTACCTGGAGCTAGGTTCATCCCAGACTGAGAAATCATCTAAAAACAAAATAAAAAAGTAATAAAAAGTACTGTTTAGACCTAATTTCAACTGACCCTCAATTTTATGAGTGGTATGTCTGATTTACATCTGTTCCCTCTTTTGTCTGGAACTAGAGCGTACTGTGGTCTATAGTGCACACTGCACACTGTAAACTACATAGTTCACAAACTAGAATTTTGAATATTTTATGTCAAACGCAGTTCGAATGAAAATGTTTATTTTCTTTGACTTCCGGAGAATAAATAAAAGTATTTTTGAAATATAAAACAGCTTATATACAAAGTTTTTTTACGAATAAATTAAAAAGCATACATTTTCAGCTTGAAAAATTGAGCCAGTAAATATTTAAGGGTACTGTTGTAAATCTGACATACCACTCTACAGATTGACAAGCATGGAACACTTGTAAACCAAAGAATCATTTAAAATGAATAGTTAAAAAAATACTTGCTAAGAGGTAATCTTTTTCTTTTAGTTCAGTTTCAAGATATACATTTTCACTGATTTTGATGTTCAATGAAAAATGAAAAATGACAAGTTTTTACACCCTTCTTTATCTTTTTTACCCAAAGATTAAGTTATTTTCCTAATTTTGTTTTGCGCTTTATTTGTACAAAAGATTGTTTTTTTTTTCTATTTGTTTAGTGATCTCCTTACAAGAAATACAAAATTAGATAAAATAACCCAAACGTAATTTAAGAGTTAGGAAAAAAATTGTGTTTTTAAAGTTTAAATATTTGAATGAATAGAAATTTATTGGGCGGAACTGCTCTAACTCTTAAAAGCTGGCCATGTTGGAATTGAAGTTTTACACACAAGCAGTGTGTCAACATTTTTAAAAAAATTACATTTAGGTCCAAATTATTTAGTCTCTAACTTCAAATCGAAATCATGAATTAATTTCTCAGTAACCATTTAATCACAGATGTTTTCCAAAACAATTATTTCGCAATTCTACATTTTTTTGTAATTCATAAAAGTTATCAAACTATCTCTTAAAACTTTTAAATTTTTTTCAAATCTTTTAATCCCCCCTTAAAAGTAACCCCATAAGCGCCTAAATAAAAAATCTTACCTCCCCCACCCTCTCTCTTCTAAAAATATATTAATTTTTCCGCCTAAGTGACTGTTTTATAATAAATTTAATTGACCCTACATGCAAAGATCGCAATGCCCGATTCACAACGGTAACCTTAAAAGCTTTGTCTGATCAACTGTAAATTATACATCAATGTTTATAATTTGGAAAATTGACTATTTTCAATTGTGGTTTCTCTACAAAAGTGACATTTGCATTCATACTGTGAGAAAACATAAATGAATTTTCAGAATTTAACACTTTAAAAAAAATTATTGATCAGATAAAGGGTTTAAGGGTAATGTTATGAATTGGTTAGTTTCATCTTTGCATACAGAGGGTCACACGAAATTACGCTTACAGTCTCTTTAAGACAATCTTTAACCAAATTTTTCTAACCAATGCGATGTCTAATCTTTGATTTTGTTGAAATTAGGATGATGTAACTGTAAGGTGCAAAACAATGTGGTGTTTAAGCATGCACAATAATAAATATTAAGAACAGGCAAACCTACCTTCAAGGTTTCTGTCAGGTTTTGCTCCGACAGCTTTGGAACCAAGAACCTTTCTGGAATCTCAGGAATTGTAATACTCTCCATACTTGAACCCTCTCCAGCGTGCAGTGTCAGGGTCTCAGTTTGATCTTGAGACTGGAGTATTGGTGATATTGCAGACTGGAGCTGAACTTCAGGTCCATGAGCCTCGTAGTTAGAGACTGCAACGGCAGCCATAGCCTGAGCACGTTCTTTCTCTTCGACATTGATGCTTCCAGGGTTGGGAGGCTCGGGAACCATCTGCTTCAAGATAGAGTTGATCTGGGACTCGGAGAAGGTGGACCGGGGGATCAGGGTAGTTTTCATCACAGTCTTTACGCCAGAGTTGGAGGAGAGAAGTTGAACCGACTGCTCCGGAGAATGTTTCAGAATGATTTGCTGGGGTTGGAGAAATTGTGAGGTTTGGACATTCTGCATGGTTGGTCTCAATCTTCTGTACATCACCGTAGGTTTTAATCCGGACAGCTGTTGGTGAACCAGGGGTTTATTGATCTGGTGAACCAGGAGATTGGTGTTAAAGGGTCGAGGAGAGGATGGAGAAGGTAGATTGCGGACCTGCAACCGGTTAGATGTGTTCTGTACTGAAACCTGTAAAGATTGCATGGGTGAGACGGGTTGAGAAAAGGATTGCAGGTAGACGGGTGAAGAACCCAAAAGTTGAGAAGGAAGAACCTGATACCGGAGTACCAACTGTTCTCCAACAGCAGAGGAGTGCTGAGTGCTGGAAAGGTGCGAGGAAGAAGAAGAAGAAGAAGAAGAAAGATTGGAAAGATTAGAAAAGAAAGGTGAATTATTAAAGATAGGTTGCACTCTATGGGTTGAGTTAGTTGAACTCAATACTAGACCACTTACTGTTGTTGATGTGTTGGAAGTTTCCAGGTAGGATACACCAGGACTAGAACTTATCAGGGTTAGTGGAGAGCTTGACAACATCAATCCAGAATTGCTGAGACTGACCTGGGACGGAGTGGCGTTACCATTTCCTGTGTCCGTCCATGGTAGAGAGATTGAACCAGCACTAGGAAGGACGGGTCGGGAGATTAAAGTTTGCTGATAGAGCGGGGATCCGGAGACAGGAACCCGTATTCTCATCCCGGTCAAACCATTTCCAGATAATCCTCGAATAGCAAAGGTTTGACTGGAGAATCTAGGTTGCTTGTCGTTAGGGATGAGAATCATTCCTGGAGGTAGATGGAGGGGGAGAGGGCTGGAGGGAGGAGGTAGGAGCTGGTTCTGAACCTGAGCACGGTTTACTGATTTCTCAACTACAGCCTTGCATATCTCATAGGACCGCTGGAGGTTTATACTCCCTGTAGAACTGTGAGGGTTTATACTCCCTGTGGGTTCAATTACGCCGCCAGCTCTTGAAACCTGGAAATATTTAAAAATGTTACTTTACTACTTTATATAATAATAATAATAATAATAATAATAACAATAATCATAATAATAATAAAAATACTTACTTTTATCTGATATGCTTGTGATCCCTTAATATCCTGTGATCCATGTGTATTCGTTGAACCCGTGACAGTAACCGTAGATTGGGAACAGGTTGAGTACAGAGGAGAAGGGGAGCTCCGGGATAGAGTCGGAGGAGGGACACCTGATCCAGCTCCAGGTACACCAGGAGATGATGAACTCCACTGTATGGTTGAACTGGGTTCAGATGTATCTGCTGCTGTCACCATAAAACCTAGATCTGAGACAGGAAGAGGTACGGTAGGGAGCTGGATGTTAGAAGGAAGTTTATTGAAACGAATGTTCTGGTGTCCTCCAGATGGTTTAAATACTCCTGATGGTTCACTAGGCTGGGGTGTCAAGGTTAAAGTACATCTGGCTTCTCCAGGGTTAGAAGGAGTGGATTGAAGGTTAGAACTAGTAACACTGGAGAGTGGAGTTAATTTGAAGTTTCCTGAAAAAGATGGAGTGGGAGTAGGCAAATAATATGATGATGTGGGAGTAGAGCTGTATGAGGATGGAGTGGGAATAGAAGTAGAACTGGAGAGGGAGGGAGTAGGGGTAGAACAAGATGAAGAGGAGTTGGAGTGAGCAAAGGTTAGTATATGGTTTTCAACCTCGTCTACATCAAGAGCTGGTGATGACCTAGAAGACTTAGTGCTTTCCTCTGTACCCGGAGAATTGTCCAATGTGCTTTGATCATCAGTATCAGGATTTACAGAATTATTTGCTTCTGAGGAGCAGTCGTCCTGCTCAATTGTAACCACATTCTCCGGGTTACTGGTTTCTGTTCTCCTGGAGCTCTGACTATCTTGAGAACATGGAGCCTTTGTAACCTCTATCTCTGACTCAGATGACTCCACACTATTCCTGATATTGCTTGAATCTGCTGAGTCTATACTGAATCTCAGGTTGTGGGATAAATAATCCAAATTAGTCTGACTCAGTTCAGATTCAGCCTTTACCGATTTATCATCATCGGACGGATTTTCTGAAATAATGCTTCCCGGATTTTCGTATGTAATGTTTTCAAAATGAGATCCATTCGGGGAGAGGGTCGGAGGGGCACTGTGGGCATCAGAGTCAAGACTGTTAAAAGCTTCCTCTGGAGTGAGATGAGGAGCAGGTATTGAATCCTCGGACGAACTTTGTCTTGAATCAATCTGCTTCGGTAAATATGCTTCCTCCTTGTTTCCAGGTTTATCTTCTAGTCTTGATTCAGTCTCCTCCTCATCATTATCATTATTCTTATAAGATTCAGTTTCCTCCTCATCATTATCATTAGCCTTATCAGATTCATTCTCCTTCTTCTTAACATCCCCAACTAGACTAGACAATATCGTTTCATTCTCTACTGAACTGCTCTGAACCATTTCCAAACATTCTTTCAAATTCTTGTCAGAAATTATTTCCTCGAATCTGGTTAGAATTGTCTCCGGTTCAATATCTAGCCTTGAATCTTCTTGCTCTGGTTCAGACTTGACACCAGAGCAGGAATCTGTTAAGTTGTTACCCTGATCCTGCTGAGATTCTTCTAATAAAATATCAAACCTTGAATCCATTTCTAGAATTGGATCGATAAAAGTTTTCTCTGGTTTATGTTGATCATTAAACTCCAGCTTTCTTCTCTTAGCAGCAGGTTCAGCTAAATCTACTATCTCCTCAGTAGTGTCGGCCACTGTAACCCTTGGAGATTTATTGGGAGAAATTATTAAGGTCTCCTCTTCACAATCCATCCCAGTCTCCACATCTCCGACATCATGCAACACCACGACAGGTTCAACTAGATTAACATTACCAACCACTGGTTCTTTTATCACATCTGATTTTTCACTTTTTAAAATATCACAGTTTAGCTCCAGGGGTTCAGAGTCCTCAAGTTTGTCTAGTTTAGGTATAAGATTATTTAAGTCATAACTTCTCTTCATACCCCACAGGGGCTCAAAATGTTTTGATTTCCATGGATCAAATTTCCGTTTATCACTATCAAGCTCGTTTTTAGCTTTCTGTAAAGCCTCCGGAGTAAAGTCTCCGCGTAGTAACCGTTCTCTCCACTCTTGACAAGCTTTAGCAAAGAATTCATTATTGAAAGCTGATGAATTAAGACGGAGTCCTCGAGTCTCATCATATATTTGATCTGTTTGAGGGAGAAGCTGCATCAACTTGAACTGGTAAAGAGGAGGAAGACGGGAAAATGTATTTTTGTTTAACAAAGTTCTAAGGTTTACTTGTCCAAGAATGGATTCGGGAGCTTCAAGGTTTATTGATCCTTCCTTAGTTTGCTGTATCATTTGGGCACAGGACACTTTTTTAGGGTTCTTATTAAACTTCAGTTTTCTGTGGTTAAAGTTAGGGATGGAGCTCAGAACCTCTTTCATCGTCTTAGGATTCTTGTTCAGCTCGGAGAGGAAGGGTTTGAAGGGAACCTCAATTTCTCCTGTAGCTAGAGTAGACCGTCTAGAGGTTACTCTCTGGGGTAGAGCAATCCCAGCTGCAACATTGGTATTTTTCTTCCTTCGTTTAACCTGCTGTTTAAGAGCATGAAGATGTTTGTTGGTTCTCTGAGGACGAAGATTGTGTCGTCTTGAACTTGAAGGTTTCTCGTCGTCCTCTATGGTAACTATCTCCATGTCCTCGTCTGGTTTAGGTTTAGTTCTTCCTCTCTTGAGCTCGTCCGCTTCGAGGTTTAGTTGAGATTCACACTCAAGCTCCAGATCAGCCTCCTGAGGACCAGAATCTCCTATTATTATCTCGGCCTCGAGACTAAGAGGATCGAGAGTCATTTCCTCTGGAGCACATTCTTCACTCATAATCTGTAAATTCTCATCATCACTGGGCGCTGAACCAGTTATCACAGGATGACCGTCAGGCAGGTGTACATAGAGAACCCCTTCCTGTCTGTACTGAACCTGTTCCTCCACCCCTGCACCCTCAACAGGAACCTTCTCAACTATCTCCACCACCGTCCCTCCCTCTGGTATACAACTCTTCAGCCCGAAAACTTCATTGTGTCCGAAGGCTTTGAAGAAGGTTGGATTTCTTCCACAAGCATTGGATGTTAGGACGTTGAGAAGCTGGTCCTCGTTAAGAGATGAGTCCGGAGATATCTGGTCCTTGATGATCAACTTCTTTATCTCAGCAACATGGATGGGAATCTGGGGCATCGATTCAAGAACCTGAAACACATTTTTAAACTAATATTAGCATTTTCAAAGTTCAGAAAATTATTTAGGTTGTGTAAAAAACACAAAGTAAAGATATAATTATAAATACCATAAAGGCACTGATTTTTTGCCACAAACTCTGATTTTCTAATCCCTATATCTTTAAAACCAAATATCGTAAACCTTAGATATTTCAAAATATGAATCTTGTTAGATCAAATAATCTAAGTTTGAAATATTAAAACGAAATAGGGATTAGAAAATTGGAGTTTGTGGCAAATAAAATAAAAATTAAAAGCATTTAAAACAATAAACAAATAATTATGGTATTGAAAAATAAAAAGGATTCACTATTTTGTTTGCCAAAAACATTATATTTTTTTCTCATTCGTTTCCGGGATATTTGGATCACGGGTGTTTAATGTATATTTTTAAGAAGGACTTTCGAAGATCTGGGGAAAAAATAAAAAATTGGACATCAGAAGTTTCTTAATCTTTTCACATACCTTTTTTCCAAAAATTCATTTATTTTCGCAATTTAAAAAATAAACCTCTTAAGAAACGCAAAACAAAACTACCTAACCACTGGGGAAAAATTATTTTCAAAAGAGGGGTTGGGGGTGATTTTATAAGAAAATATACACCCCTGATTTATATGATTTTAAACACATGGCAAAACTGTGTAAAATAAAAACATTAAAATTTGCAAATGAAATGAGTCTTTGGAACAAAATCAATTATTTAAACATCAATATCTTTAGAACCCGATGTTGTTAACCTTTGATATTTCAAACTCAGGTTATTTGATTTAACAGAATTCATATTTTGAAATATCTAAGGTCTACACCATTTGGTTCCAAAGATATAGTGATTAGAAAATCAGAGTTTGTGGCAAAAACTCAATTCCGTTGTATTCTTTTTTGTTTAAAATGTACGAGGAGAAAAGGCTTTAAATACAAGACTGTACACGGTAAAAATATTTTCTAAAAAGTGGGGCATGGGGCACCAAGGACTACAAATAAATGCCAACTTAATTTCAGGGGAAATTAGTTCCACAACTAACACTTCTAACACTGAGTGTAGAAATGGGCACAAATTGAAAGACTAGGTTTTCAGGATGGTTAAGAGTAAAAGTCGATAATAAAATCTATAACCAACATTTTATAAAGACATAGATATGAATTTGAGTAATTACCTCAAAACATGAGCTGAAATCCGGTAATTGTTTCAAAATAGGGATATGTTCGAAAATGAAATCAAGAATCATCAAAATCTAATTCTCACGCTTTAATATTAGTTTAAAGTTGACATTTATTGTTTAAATATATAATTTTAGCCATTTTTCATAAATATATGGTGTAATTTTGTTTAACTCGGCTTGGATTTAAAGATATACACGCTTGGAAAAGAAAACTTTGCAAATTTGGCCCATTTCTAACACACAGTTTTAGAAATGGGCCAAGTGTCAGTTTTGGAACTAATTTCCCCAGAATGTTTGAAGATCCACAAAAAATATTTATTTAAAATGGGAGCGTGGAACTAATTTATTAAATTTTAGCTGACATTTAATTTTAAATAATAAACAAATGGGTTAGGATGCTGGGGCGTACGAGGGAAGGTCGTACGAGGGAGGGGGCCGGGCTTCCCCTGAGGGGGGCACCCATATAAAAAATACTTTTAAATCTCACTTTTGCCCTTAACTAAAAAAGATTCATTAAAAAAGCTTTAATCAATACTTCCTTCAGTGTAAATATATATTTGATATCATTATTTATAATTATACAATATGTATTGTTTCTATGAAAATGTAGATATTTTTAAAGAATCGTTTCCATCACAGTATCTGAAGTGTCTGATGAGTCCACTTAAGAAAATTACATAAATAATTTATTAACACTTTTTATATGGAAGCACGTGTATGTGATCGAATAGTTTACATAGTTAAAAAGGGATCAATATTTTTACAAAAAAGCGGTTTTTAAGGAGGGGGGGGGGGGCACACCATTTTTTTAGTACGCTCATGCGCGCAAAAAGTGCCCCCCTTTAAACAAATGCTCTCGTATGCCCCTGAGGATGCAAAACTAACATATAGAGACATCAGTACGTAGTATATTTTCCCCAAACCCTATAAAACATTCTGCATTAAAATTATTTGAATTTCAAATGATCTTCTTCAAAGCGAAATCATTTAACTTTATAGCTAGTAATAAAAAATGGGGGGGGGTCTTGTTGTCTTCGAAACGTATAATAGGAAATTGTATATAAACAAAAAAAATTAGTATATTCAAGTTTAAAATCAAATTCACAATAATACGAAATAGTCAAAATTGAATTATATAACGCAAAGAATGTTTGGACTAGATAAATAATTATGAATTATTCTTATTTATGTTTAGACAACAAACTTTTAAAATATCAACACAATTATTTAAATATAGTAAATTGTAAATAAATATATGGTTTACCAGTTTAGCTGATTCTTTTATTGATTTATTTCTCTTTCTAGTTCTCACTCCAAACTTTAGAATGTCCTCCTGCATGATGGCCATCATAGAACACTGATGCTAGGGGGAAAATCTTTTAGTTTTCATGTCTATCTCTTCTTTTTACGCCATTTTTGTTCCTGAGCTGAATCTGTTGTAATAGTAGTTCCAAAATAGTCCGCTTGGAGTTTCTGTTTACTAATATGTCGTCTTTTCTTAGCTTCTTATTTCTAAAAATAAAAATAAATGTTTAATTTTAAATCATGCATGTATGTATAACAAATTTTGAGTTCATATTATATAAATATTTATTGTAAAACTGTTTTGTTTTCTTTTTGATTCAAGAATGCAATTTCTGATTTGAATATTTCATTTCCTCAATTCTTAAATAATATTGTTATCTTATCTTGCTTTTCTTATTCCGATGTTAATTCCCTGATAATCTCGCCGATGCTATATTTTCGGAACATGTGGTACCCCCACATCCGACCTATAAGAAAACTGACCTTATAGTTTTCTGACGTAAATAAAGGGTTTTCCAACTTAAAGTAAAATAACTATACAGGGTGTCTCAAAAAAAACTGTGCAGTAGGGGTATTAGTAACTGAAGAAACAATTTTCGTTCAATTTTTACGATCAAGGTGTCATTCGAAAGCTCTATATTTCAGTTATTTCATGATGTGAAATTTTTCTTTCTAGGCCTCATACTTTTTTGTTACAACCAATTATTTGAGCATAAGTCGAAAATCGATTTCCCGGATTTTTCAATTTTTCGATTTTTCATGTCTCATTTTCATTCGTTCATAAAGTATGGAAAAATTTAAAGATTTTCGAAATTTTTTTTTAAATCATAAGCTGTTAGTCTTAGGTTTCATTTTTAACTAAAATTTTGGATCAGCGATTATTACTTTTGAAGCTAGAGCAATCTAAAAATAAAAATATG